TAAAATATTCTTAAAAGCTGTGTAAGTAACGGTAAACACATTGGTGACTGCTATGTAATTTATTGTTCATTTTGAATTTTTATTAAAAAAATTAAAACGATGATGGTTAATTTTAGACTTTCTATTATTTAAAATAAATAAATACAAATAATCTATCAAATTAAAATAAAATAATAATTACATTAAAATATAAATGTGATATTGTATTAATAGACATTTGTTTCTATCATGTGTTTCTTAAAGCATTTCATTTATAATATTTTGCGCCGAGGTCACAAATTAAAAGCTGAAACTTTCAAAGAAAGTTATTATCAATATTTTTTAAAATAAGGGCATAAATTATAATATGAAACTCACATGATATATTAATCAGAGAAATCTATTGTGAGAATGCCAGCCTCATCAGCTGGTTAGTAACTGTTTATTGGGAAAACATTGATTTGCATAAGAAAATCTCAGATGATGTAAATTTCTTGATTTATCCCTAAAATACTCATTTGTTTCTGATTTAAACTTGTAAACAAATTTATGTCAAAGCAAATATATTTCACTTATTTACATAAGTCTTTTTAATAACAAAACAATTACATCAACAAATGTAAACAAGATAACATGAAAACTTTTTAATCAATTGCTTTTTAATATGGAAATTTCTTTTTGGACTGGAACCATTTTATGAACAGGAACTGATATGCTTATTATACATAAAGAAATATTATAAACATGAATGGTACTAAGATATTAAGACAAGAAAGTGTGTATATATATATATATATATATATATATATATATGTGTGTGTGCATGTGAATACAGAGACAAGAGATAAATCAATTGATAGATTGACTTACGTTCCCTTAGCATAATTCATTTTCAGATGGAGTCTGCTGCTATTGAAAGTTAGAAATCTTAATCTTTTCCAAACAAAACTGTCAATGAAGGAGTGTTTTTCACTCCTTAAAAACAATTGTTCATCGCATCAGCTAGTGCACAAGTCACCCAAACAATGAAAAAAAAAAAACATCCGGAAAGATGCAACTCCCCAAATTGTCACAAAAACTTATCCCAGACAATCATGGCATCCGGTTAGAGTTAAATAATATCATCAGGATTATTGTAGAACTGAACAGAAGAAATGAAAATATCAAATAAAAACAGAGAAATACTTGAAAGAAGAGAAAAGTGATAAATTTTTGTGATGTTGATAAATGTAAAGAGGGAAGTTTCATTTGCAAAGGAAATTGAAAAAAATGATCGATTAAAATAGACACATTTTGTCCCATAATAATTGATACATTTGCTTATTTTTCTTTTCATTATTGGCAACACTTATTAATAAATATTGCTCTCTCTGATCCATAATAATTGATACATTTGCTTATTTTCATCTGACAGTTGCATGCAAATTACAAGTTAGAAAATGTATTCAGTAAATATACAAAAATAGAAAAAGACATTAAGACAAAGATGTATCTTCTCACCTGACTTATTTCAACCTTTACATTGGATCAATTCTGAGGGAATTAGAAGCCCTACGACGATTCATTACTGACAGCCGCAATCTTAACAACATTAAATATGCAGATAAGAAAGTAGGAACTCCTACAGAAAGCAGTAAATGAAAGGAAGAAGAATGAACCAAATGTTAATTATAAGAAAAGAGAATGTATGGTTGTTAGCAAAAGGAACAACACAACATGTAAATTCCAAATTGGAAATATCAAAATCAAATGCGTAGAAAAATTTAAATACCTGCAAAGTATTTTAACAGATGATGGAAAATGTGGAATAAAAATCCAAAAACATTGGGATAGTGAAAGAAGCTATCTATAATGTAAAGTATTAAGAAACAGGAAAATTTTGTTAAAAACAAAACAAAATAAAATTAAGAGTTCTAAACTGTTATGCAATATCAATTCTTCTTTCTGGAAGTGAATGTTGAACAATCTCCTCACAGATGAAGAAGTGACTTGAAGCAACAGAAATGTGATTCTACAAAAAAAAAAAAAAAAAAAAAAACAGAAAATACCATGGACCGAACATGTGAGCAATGACAAAGTTCTTGAGAAAATGGAAACAAAAAGGACACTTATTCTTTACATCTGAAAGAGAGAGTGGAAATTTCTAAGGCTCATAATGAGGAAAGAGGGCTTAGAAAAATTGATACTCATAGGACATATTGAAGGCAAGAGGGAGATAACCCCTGCCTAATGAGCTTGTATAAATGTTTGGCAGAACAGGGATTAGGAGAGATAGTAAAATATAAACTTTAATTAGAGCTACACAGAAGAGGAAATTGTGGAGAGCCTTGATCGTCCACCCCATAAAAGGGGACACAACCCAAAGAGGATTTTAAATAAGGCAATTAATGACAGGTAAGAAATTAAGAAGCTTAATTAAAGTTGGGGTTTGGAAGCAAATTTTTACTTAAATCATTACAGGTAAATACAGACAATCTAAACTGTTTTAAATCATTTCTAGATAAAAAAAAAAAAAATCATTGCTTCAGAAATATGAATTTTTTAAAAATATTAGAATTCACCCAATTCAAAGCCTGAGAGCCAATCAAGGTAGAGGAATGGTTAAGATGAATGAGGTATGTGATATGAATAAATGAAGTGATGATAGGAAGTGAAGATTATAAGGATAAGGATTGACCCTTGAGCTGAAGAGATTAAGATTGTAGTGTTCAGGGAAGCACCCAAGCAGGAGTCTGTTCCACAAAGTTACAGTTCGGGGGCGGGGGGCTTTCTTCTTACTTTTAGAATATGGAGGAAATAAGGATGATTCAACTCTGTAGAACTAGTACAGCATATCCTAACAGAACTACTGAAAGGAGTTTATCTTGCAGTAGAAATAGCAATCAAGTCATGATAGACTTGCAATAATTAAATAGAGAGTCATTAAAACAAATTTAAAGCTAAAACAGCCAGACTTATTTTATGTGCCTTCAAAACAGGAATCTAAACATATAAGACGCTATATATATGTTTTTTTTTTTTTTCTGTAACAATTGAGGGGTGGTGTGTAAAATAATTCTGACCCACCTGGTACTGTGTTAACTTGGTCCCTTTAATTGTTTTTATCAGTAGAAGCCAACATGGTAGAATCTGAAAACAATCACAGTAATTAAAACTTGGGAATCCCAAATGCCAGGATTCAGGATTTCGACCTGGAATGATATTAATTTTCTCATGGAGTCAGCCTGATTCCAAAATGGTATGATATATTGGGCTATGACTTCTAGGATTAAAGTTGAAAAAGTACGACACAGTGACATTCACATTTATTAAATGGATGGTTGGATACTTTCAGGATGGACATGAAACAACTGCATATAGCCACACACACACACACACACACACACACACTATATATTATATACACACACACACACAAAGCAAATGCTTATAGTGGTGTAGAAAAACAATCTGTTAGATATAAAAATATCTGCTAATTATTTATATGTCAGTTCATCAAAACGCTTATCTCTGCATATCTTTATCTATAGAGAAATGAGAGAGAGAGAGAGTTTGATTTGTATTCTCTTGTCCCCAATTTGTCTATTCATTTATTTCAATGCCTAATGAATAAGTTGAGAATATATCAAGTGTCCTCAGGGGAAATTAAAATAAAATGTGCAAATGAGAAAGTCCAGTCTTAGACTTAAATGTTGCGTAGATTCCCAAATGAATCAATGTCTGACCTCATGAAACAAATGAATTAAAATAAACATGTGAAAGAATAACGCAGTCAGTGAATAGGAACAAACAAAAAAAAAAAAAGAAGGAAAATTTACAGTCATTGAATATATTTTAAAAAAAGAAAAATTAGTCATTGAATATGGACAAAAAATAAGTCAAAGTCATTGAATATAGACAAAAAGTAGGAATAACTTGTCAGCAAAATTGGGGTGAATAGGGGGGAAGAAAGAGGAAACAAAGTTTGGGATAGAGATAGAGAGAGAGAAATGGAAGGAGAGGGTAACTGAGCTGAAAATAAAGTAAAATACAGCAAAGGAATGAGAGTGAAAAGAGAAAGAAAAAAAGGTGAGAGAGACAGAGGAGTGATGGGAGAAAGAAAGAAGGAGTGGATGAATGTGTTGGAGAAGATTGGGGGAATGTATGAGAGAAAGGGGAATAAAGAAAAGGATGGAGAGAGAGAGGGAGAAAGAAGAAAGAAATGGATTGAAAGAAGGAAGAAAAAAGTAAGGAAGGAAAGATGGAAAGAGGAATTATTACGTAATTACAAATAAACTTATTTTCAACCCTTTAGGTACATTTATAAGAAGTTTTTTTTTGTTTTGTTTTTTTAAGAGTTTCAACTATTTCAACTGATTTTATAAACCATTAATTATTATTTGGTGGAAATGACAAAATGGAATTGCAGGAAAAACTCAAGAACAGTTTGAGCAAAATCAATCATGCTAAATAGTTTACAGTCTCTACAAGTGATAATATATTGAGAATTGGAAATTTTTCTAATCTGTGTCAAGCTTGCATTTGTACTGAGTATAATTTCTCAATCTGTAATTTATTTTCATGAGGTGGGGAAAAGATAAAGGGAGACAACTGTGTTGTTCCTTAAACGCAACAAATATTTGAAGCAAATCACAAATGATACAAACCTGTTTCATAAAATTGTAAAGTTAATCTTTTAATGATAATTGTAAAACTTATGACTACTTTAACATCTGCTTGTATGTTAAATTATACTGCCCCCCACAAAAAACAAAAATGTCTATTCACAAGATAAGTGATACAGTGTTAGATTAAGTCAGTTATGTAAATAGTACATTTGCATTCAAGTAACTTAGTGAGATGATAATTTAGTGATACGAGTCTTACTAATTAACCCATAGCTGAGGGAGAATAGGTGCATTCATATCATTCCCAAGGATATTTGCACGTAAGTGAATATAACAAACCCAATAGAAATTGGAACTCAGCTCTCTGATTAACAATTCCAAGCCATTATCCATTAGACCACCTGCAAACCCAAGCTTACAGCACCTGGCATTTCCAAGGGGTCACCCATCTAGGTACTGACCAGGCTCAACCTTGCTTAACTTTGGTGATCATATGGGACCCAGTATTTCAACATGATGTGACCATAAGCTAGATGAAAAGGTGACTTGAGGTTGAAGAAATATTGTTCTGTAGATGAATGCTAAGAATACCAGAGACTGAATATACGAACAATGAGGAAGTTTAAAAAAAAAATACAAACTAGAAAGACTATTTAAAATCAGAAAATGACAGCTGTAATTTTTGAGATACATTATGAGGAAGGCAGGTTTGGAAAATTTAACACTTACAGGAATTAGGGGTAATAAAGAATCAATTGTTACTTAGAGCTACAATGGACAGGAAACTTTGGAGAGGCAAAGATCGTCTCCAAAATTTCTGCTTTTGAAAGAAGATGGCTCTGACACCAATATGGCTGCTATTCATATAAACATGTCTCACTCCTTCAAAGCTAAAATATTACTTTATAAAAGCTGAATAAAGAAGCCAACCACTCTTTAAAAGCCTCAATTCAGAACAGTTCAATTTTTATTATAGGTTTAACTTTCTTGTATACTAAAATATCTTTTATGATCCAACAATCCTTAGGCTTCAGGGCTAACACACACACACACATAAAATATATATATATATACATATATATAAATTTATATCACCTTATTGTGGGGACAGTCCCTTCAAACTGGATGAAGCATATATATATATATATATATATATATATATATATATATATATATATATAAAGTTGTCTTGTAATAACACTGGCCAATGAAAACACAAGAATTAATGAATGGCATGTTTAGATTGTTGGACATGATCATAATTTCTGAATGGTCAAACATGATTATAATTTGCCAGATTTGGGGAGAAATGATATTACCAAATATATTTAATTAGATTTTCTTTTATTATAATTGTAACTAAAAACAAATTCTGTCCACATGCTCAAAATCAGTTGTCACTGCCACTCTGCAGCCGAGTCAGAAATTTAAACTTAACTAATGAGATATTGTAGAAATGCTGATGGTTGACATCTTTTTTGCTATTTTTGCTTTCATTTCAACAATAATGCCACTCCCTGACCTTCAGCATTTTTCAGAACCATACACAAGTGAGTGTTGACAGATGATCAAGTCCCTATTAAGTGCTGAAACCTTTAAGATACTATTTATTGATTACAGATTCATTACAAAGATTTTTTTGATCTTCCATGGAGTGCAAGAATGAAGAAGAAGGCACAAGATGATAAATGGTGTTGGGGGTGGGAATAGGGGGGTAAGAAAAAGGAAACAAAGTTTGGGACAGAGATAGAGAGAGAGAGAAATGGAAGGAGAGGGTAACTGAGCTGAAAATAAAGTAAAATACAGCAAAGGAATGAGAGTGAAAAGAGAAAGAAAAAAAGGTGAGAGAGACAGAGGAGTGATGGGAGAAAGAAAGAAGGAGTGGACAAATGAGTTGGAGAAGATTGGGGGAATGTATGAGAGAAAGAAAAATGACAAAAGAGGGGAATAAAGAGAGATAGAGAGAAGAAAGAAATGGATGGAAAGAAGGGAGAAAAAAGTAAAGAGGGAAAGAGGAAATTAAATAAAGAAAGTAAAATGAAAAAAAGAAATGAAGAGTCAGATAGGGACAAAGAAAGAAAAAGTATAAGAAATGAGGCATGGTGAGAGGAGGGAAATGAAAAGAAGATAGAAAGATTTGTTCAGAAGCAAAGCTGAGATTAAAAACTG